TTCAGCTAAGAAACGGCCCATCAGACACCCGAAAGTATATTTGCGATACTCCGTACGGAGAACATGGATCAAAGAACAGGGAGACCCTTGCTGGCCGCTTGCTGGCCACACGCACTGGTGTGTCGTGCGAATTGCTAAGAAGAGGAGACAGCCTGCTTCAAAGACAAAGCTCATCCGAACCAATTATCCCCGTCATGTAGGGCAAATTGTCCGAGCGCTGGGGCTCTTCTGCCTGTGCACATTGGATCTGTGACGCCAGGTTGCAAGAGCTGGACTTGACAGCCCTCGTATAATCAAAAAGACGATGATGGCGTGCACACACAAGTTTAAGACGGAGTTATCGCTAAGAGTGTGACGGATATGAACTGTGAGCTGAACCCAGGAGAACCAACCAACCCACCGGAGTGAAACGAGCCCAGGAACCGACAAGTCTGTCCGGGGGTTACACCAATCTTGACGTGCGACCGGCTTTGGGCCAGCCGCAAACGCAAGACGGCACAGAACGCTACAGTTGGGCGCCCACCAGTCGACAGGCATGGGTTCTGGCGCGCTTGTACGGAGAATTGCTTTTGCTGTTTCTACGACTCATGCCAGTCGAGTCGGCACATGCCGAGAATGTATCGGAATCAGGCCCGCCCGGTTTCCGTGGGGTGGTTGTGAAAATAATAATAGTCCGACACGTATTATGGCGGCGGTGTACAATACTAGCAACGCAGTGTGAGGAAAGGAACATGACCAGAAGAATGTTTGGACTAAGAGAATTGCCGTCTCCGCTGATAGATGACGCCAAGGTCCCCCCCAGACGCCTTGCGGGCAATGCAAGTCATGCCATTGGGGGCGTCGCTTGCTGTCTCGCGGCAGGTCTTGGTTCGCACGAAGCGCGATATGCAGGATACCTGCAGGACGATTCTCTGGCGAGTCGACCCCCGGCCAATAGAAAGAATGAGTTGCCAGTTGGCCGCCGTCCTTCAATGATCCATGATTGATCCCGGATCTCCTTCTCGTCCAAGCCTGGGTCAAAACCACGTTCTCCGCTTCAAAAGGCTTTACAACACTACTACTGTCACTGCAAGCTACTGTTGCCGTACTATACTTTCGCCCTAACTTTGCAGGACAATACAGTACAATGCATTATCAGTACCATGTTCCGGCATCCATGTCCGCCCTCGGCACCGGTTTCCAGTCCGTCTCCTCTTTGAAGAAACGCTACAAAGCAAACAGCAAAACACATGGGGATTGGTTGCTACCTAGGTGCAAGGTAGGTACCTAGGCTCTCCGCATGTAGCCTTCCAAACGCAGAACAAAACGCGGAACAAGCAATACACCCCCGACTAATTCGCTATCGACTGTCAGAGTTCAACTGTGCATTTTTTCGAAGTCACATGGTCTTTGTTCATTTCAAGAATTACGGGGATGGGTGACAATCGTTGAAAAAGAATCAGGAAACCTTGATACGGTAATCTTCGCCACGCCATACCAATGAGAGCAAGACTAGCGATAGGTCGGTCAGCGTTTAGCCATCTGGTCCCTAGTGTTCTGTCTGCCTACTGCCGAAATTTCAGCCCACGCCGTGTCAGGTCGCGCATTGAGGGACTTGTCCTGCCGTACCTGTCCCGTAAGGACGCTTGGCCCCATGTTTCATGGTTGTGTCGCCAGGACCCCCCCGTCACTATCAAACGACTTACATACACTGGTGACATGGGACCAGGATTAGAACGACACCGGGCTAACGTTGTCTTTGATCTCAGCGTCGAGGAGGGTGTCGGCGTCGCTGGCCAACTGGCCAGCTGGTAGCGGCTGGACTCGTCGGTGACCCTTGCCTCCCAGCGTCTAACTGGTTTTACTCGGACCAGACTGAAATTTCAGCGCGCTGTCATGCTGTCATCTGGCATCTCACGTACACGCGGCGGCAGTGAGTTGTCTCGGGCCATATTAAGTTTAACTGGTTCCATGTCTCAGGCCCTTTAAAGTATAGAGGAGGGAGGCATTCCGCCCGACTTTTTCTAACCCGGAGGCTCTGAAATAACAGTGATAAATAGTAATTACAAAAAGGCCGTTTCCACAAACCAATCGTCTAACGCATGCTATAGCTCAGTTCAGCCCAGTCCTTGGTAAGGAGAAAGGGCAACCGGGATCCCGTTTAGAATAACATTCCCGGGCGTTTACGTCGCAGCTGCCGTGTCAACTCTTTAGACAAATTGTAACCATCATCTTCTACATTCGGCATGTGGAGCGGCTGTTCCTGGGCCGCGTGCACGGAACAGGAGGAGACTCTCTCTGGGTCGACGGAAGTGACAGCGCATACTGCCGCGTCTACATAACATGTGGAATTGGCCGCCAATGTCGAAAACTGCATCACTGTCTTACATCTGCTTCGTTTGGCGGACTAACAACTCACCCGACTGGGTGATTCCGGCCCTCTTTCATCCTTAATTACGGGATGTGCCCACGAGCATGATCTTGCAGTTCTTCGTGTACACACACCTGTTGTGGAATGACATAACCTCAGACCATTCAGCAGCTAATTCAATACCTACCTAGGTACTACGACCGCATCCAGCGCCCAAAGCTGCGGTACGTGCTCGGTACAATACAGATACCCTGCAATCTTGATCGATCTGGTAGTAGAAATAGGGCATGTCGACCCTCCCGGCAGTTCTGGTGCAAATTGAGCCACGCCTAAAACAGACGGCTGCGTTTGGGTACCCCTAGCAGCATTGCAGATGTATCCCTGCGAAGATCCAGCCACGCGCAGGCGGCTCAAGCCTCCGGGTATGTGCCAAGAACGATGTTGATGTTCCGTCATCATTGTCCGAACTGCAAAAAGTTATCATGGTTTCATCCCAACTCACTGCGGAACACCAAACCTGACGACGCTGAGCACGCACCGCTTTTGCCCAGTGCCCCAACAGAATATTCTCCACCGCCTGGGAGTTAAAGACGACACGAGTGTCTATGTAGGTATGCCGGACAACTTGGCGATGGAATGAGCGAATGAGAGGAGGAGGATGAGATGACAGACTGGACTGTCAGTAGACTCAGTACTCCGTATAGTGTTCCAACTGTAGTCATTTGTCAACTAACCCTCGTTCCAACAACAGGTCAAGTGCGACTGTCTCCACGTGAGCAAGTTTATAGACAAAGGAACAGCATCGGCAGTGGCTTTTCGACCGCTTTCAGGCCATGTAACTGTTCTTGACTACGAATACAAAACACGAACAACCCTTTGCCCAACTGTATACTTTAGCCTCGACTATCATAGTTTTCTTTTTGCCTCGCTATTCTCATCTAAAAAAAAAAAAAAAAAACCTACGTACTATTACTAATCTAGGTCTCTATCGTCAGGTGGTCCCGACCACTGCTCAAAAAAGTGGCTCGTGCTGCCGTGGGATTCAAGTCGACCTAACTTATCCTTGACACACCCACCCAAGACCACCAGCCAAGGTCCTCTAATCTCCCGGGTCGAAAAAGCTTCCCATTCCCGTTTTTCGTTTTCAGACCCAGGGTTGTATCGATCTGCAACGCAACACAGCCTAGACGCAACGTGCCGGTAGGCCCGAATTGACGCAATAAGGAGATTTTTGTTATGTTGCCCAACTTCGGCATATCCAACGAGGTTGCCACAACCGTCTTCGGGGAGTATCAAATCTCGTCTTGAGCAGTGCTGTGCATGGCAGTCTGGCAGACACCCCAAGATAATTACGTGAGGATGATTCATCCTTGTGAGAGCTGTACCAGCAAGGAGAGTGTCGATCTTCATGCAAATGCTCTGTGCACTAGCCGTTACTCTGATCACGCTTTAGTCTCTGCCCAGCGATTCTCCATTACCCCGGCTGCTCAGATCGATTTAACCTTAGGCAATGTGGAAGACAAAAATACGGTGGCAACAGTCGGTGAGATGTTTCAGGCGGCATCGGCGGCCTAAGAGCAGGGATGTCTATTCGTCCTTGAACGAACCGAGCACCTTCTTCCCTTCCCTTCTGATCCCTCGACGTCCAAAGAGAATTTTGCGAACCAGAAGACCTTTCAAGCTCCAGTTCGGCCCTTGATTCAACCGGGAATGCTTATCCACGAACGAATACGGGCGACATTCATTGGCTAGAAAGGTGTGTAGTGGCTACTATAGGTTGGCTCCTGAAGTCGTATGATAGTGCCAGGCCTGGCTTTGTTGCCGCGCCTAAGCGTTCATCCGAACGGCCAGCACTCGCCTGGCTCGACGAATATCAGACAAATAGGAGCCGCTCGTACACCCCTATCCTTGCCGGCTGTTGTATCTGCATGGGGATAGTTCAACCAAGAAGGCTAGACCACAATGATGCTGATGCTCACCAGACCATGTCAGCGGGTTGCTCTGAAGGAACGATGCCAGGGCCTTTAACACCCCTTTTGTCAAAGTGCTAGCCCTCGCGGGTAAATCCAACACCTAAAGGGCCCATGTTCGATCGAGAACATATGCCGTTTCAAGCCACCTTGACCAAAATTGACAACGTTGTTGATGAGTGAATGACGCCGACAGTTACCCGCCACAGCCGAATGTCACAGTGACGGTTTGAAAGCTTGTCTGTTTTATTCACCTGACGTATGCACACACTCGTAGAATGATTTTAAAAATGTCCCACTTTTCGCGGCCATTTGTTTCCAACATAGGTTGAAGAAGCGACCAAAAACTCAACGTGCTCGCTACTGTTTCAGAGTTGGGCAGAGCGACGCCCCTGGCAAATGTTGAGGCTCCCGAGGTCCACAATCATGTGTATGGACGTGCAACATGTGTACATGTTCTTTTTTTAGACTTGGCTCACGATGTGTTTAAATGACACTTGTCTCGGGTTCGCAAGAAATGACTTGTTATTGACAAAACGTTCAGTCCTGCCCGTGTTGGGTGAGGTCGCTCTGCGGCTTTGCTGTCGCGAGGAGACAGGTCGGGGGATGTGCCTAGTTGCGTCAGATCCAATATACGCTGTGCCTGTGATACGGACGTCATGCACCTATGCGTCGGAGAATTATCGTGGAGCTTGACGCATGTTTGGTGATTGTTTTGATGGGGGTTCACAGTGTTGAGGTGTAACGGCGGCTTTGTGAGAGGCCTTTTCAGTGTCCTCCTCTTGGTGGACATAGGATGTCCATGGCCGGGGTTGCGTAGGGGGCGTACCACTGTCTTGCCTCTTGAGACATGTGGTAGCAGTGTGATAAATACTATGTTCAGCTGTTTCGGAATGTAGGGTAGGCAAACCCCGTGGTGCGAGCAAGCTTACTTTGACTCGAGTTGGCATCAACAAAACTTGGTTAATGACGATGACCATTTATGCAGTCCGAGGACATTATTGATTGTTACATGGGGCTGAATGGTTACAACACATAGGAAAGCGATGAGACGAAGAGGGTTGGATCGACTTTTACACAGGCGAATTCATCCGCATGCTGCTACTGTCCGTTGCGGTTCTTCAGAGTCGTCACATATGGCCGTCATTCAGTTGTGTGTCTTTTGGTCAACTTGAACCAATGCTTGGCTTTTTGTTTATCTCACTTCCTTAAATCAAGTCATCTAGTGACTTGTCCGCATCTTTTTGTATCAATTCCTTCATTCCCTGCATCATTATCAGATTCTCATCTTTCAGCCATGGCACACTACGCTTCTTCACTTACTTCTGGCATAATTGGGTTTCCCTCCTTGTCCGTCACATACCGAAAGGGCATTTGCGTGCTCTCGTGGGCATTGAATTTTAGCTCTGGAAAGTCGACATATGGGACTTTTTCCAGGGCAACTTGTTCTCGTTAGCACAATTGGCACATGAGTGTTTGGACCGACAGGGACGTACTGCCATCCTGAACAACCAAGCGAGTCACCCGTACAGCCGTATCCGTGGTCATCTGCTTTGGCCCCAATCTTCGCCCTTCAAATCCCTTCCTCCTCAGCTCCGAGGTTCGATCTACATCCATTAGCACTGCTTGATCCTCCCACTTGTTGTTCTAGCACCAACCTCTTGGCGGGTCATCACCTATTCAGTTATTTAGTCTCAAGATTCACCTCGGCGATGTTGGAGCATGCATACCCAAGATACCACCGAACAAAAACGCATCAAACGTCTCCCCGTCCTCAGGAGATAGATCCTTTACCGCAGCGGGATCTAACAGACACACTTTGGCCTTGTTGTCCGCGTACAGCTCCTCGACACCACGGTGCTCTGGCTTGAATGCGGGGATGCTGTTCAATGCTGCGGGGACTTTGAATTCAGTAGGTAGACTGGAAAGGAGGAAGTTGCCGTTGGTTTCTTGGGTTTCTTTGGCGATGGCGATGTACTCTAGCTCAGACCAGGGGCCGAGCTCGGGGTCGAGATGCTCGACGATGAAGGTTTTGCCCACCATTTTGGTGGGGTAAGGATTTTTTTTTCTTTAAGCCGGGCGTCTCGTTAATGGGAGTCTCGTTTTTTGGAGACGTACTTTTTCAGTGATATTACGGTTGTGGCGATGTGAATAGGCTGAGGCTGAGGCTGGTTGGAGGTGCGTTCTTGAGACGGGCAGCCTGTATGCGGGTTGGGAAAATTCGAGGTGTGAGGCCGATTGGATATCTGGAATGCGGGACGCGGTGGGCCTGGTGGGCGCGGAGGTTGCTTTTCAGAGCGACATGGGACGAGGTGAAGAAGTGTACAAAGTGACTGATTCTGCAGCTAAATCAGTTCTTTGTTCGAAATTAGGTTATGATAAGAAATTGGTTAATGCTGAAGAGGGGAAACCCGCTTCTGGCCGTTGGGCGTCCATTTTGCCTTTGCCGTCTTCAAGAGATGGTCAATGAGGCACTAGTGTTATTGTCAAGGTGTTTAGCCAGCAGCCACGCCGACCAAATTGGTACTAGCTCAAGTGCCGATTGGCAGATCAGGGGGTCCGGGTCTGAATCCGCCAGCACCGCCTCCGTCTGAGGTTCAAACTTCTTGCTGACGGCATCACGGGCCTCAACTTCCTACGAGCCACATCGCCTCTTCCTCCGTGAGACGGTGATGATGACAGACCCATCTCTCTTGTATCATTGAACATTCCACTGTCTTATTTTCGGCATCACTTTCGAATTTGTATTTCATGACTTAGCATCGCTAAGACCGACCGCTCTTTTTGCTCCTGCCGCTGGCGTCCGCATCCCCTGGCTCGTGAGCAGCCATCATCCTTTGGCATCTCGTCGTCATGGCTCCGCGGTTCTCTTGGTCCTTCGCCACATCATGGCATGCGCTCGCGATCCTGGCACTCTGGCCGGTTTCAACCCTGGCCGGCGATAAGTCTGCTGCCGACTACTACGTCCGTGAGCTGCCCGGACTTCCCAAGGATTCTCCTCCGATCAAGATGCATGCAGGGTGAGTCATCCCATCAGCGTCCCTCGGCGATGTTACGAACTGGGCCTCTTGTTAGAGGAATCTTGGAAAAAAGAAGACTAACGCTAGTTGGCAATCGTTTTTAGTCACATCGAGGTCACTCCTGAAACCAATGGCAACTTGTTTTTCTGGCACTTTCAAAACAACCACATTGCGAACCGGCAACGAACTGTCGTATGGCTCAACGGTGGGCCAGGATGTAGTTCCGAGGATGGCGCCTTGATGGAGGTTGGGCCCTACAGAGTCACAAAGGACAACGCTTTGACCCTGAATAATGGTACCTGGAATGAATTTGCAAATTTGCTCTTTGTCGATAATCCAGTCGGCACAGGCTTCAGTTATGTCGACACGAATAGCTACATTCATGGGTTGAATGCCATGGCAACTCAGTTTATTACGTTTTTGGAAAAGTTTTTTGCGCTCTTTCCAGAATACGAGTCAGATGATGTAAGTATATTTCGCGAAATGCGTTTTGCTGTCGCTGCCCCGCTGACTTGCCGAACAGCTCTACTTCGCTGGAGAGTCGTACGCCGGACAGCATATTCCCTATATTGCGAAAGCCATCCTCGATCGTAACAAGCTGAAATCTCGCGCCGAAACGTGGAAACTCAGCGGTCTACTTATTGGCAATGGCTGGATCTCCCCCCAAGACCAATCCAGCGCGTACCTCAAATTCAGTCTTGAAAAAGGCCTGATTGAAAAGGGGTCAGATAACGCCCAGCAGCTCCAACATATGCAAAGAATTTGCGACAAGGAGATGTCCATCAACCCTGGACACGTTGACTATCCCGAGTGTGAGTCGATTCTGAATAAAATTCTCGAACTTACCAGGGAGGGCTCTGGTGACCAGGCGTGCATCAATATGTACGATGTCCGACTCCGTGACTCGGCTCCTTCCTGCGGCATGAATTGGCCTCCGGATTTGAAGTATGTCGGGCCTTATTTGCGACAGCCTCAGGTCATTAGTGCGTTGAATCTCGATAAGCAACGGAACACTGGCTGGCAGGAGTGTAATAGCATGGTCAACGCCAACTTCAGGAACCAGAACGCGACAGCCTCCATCTCGCTACTCCCCGATATTCTGAAAGAGGTCCCTATTCTTCTCTTCTCCGGAGCCGAGGACCTTATTTGCAATCACGTCGGTACAGAGGAGCTGATTAGTAATTTGGCATGGAATGAAGGCAAGGGTTTCGAGGTTACTCCAGGTAACTGGGCTCCCAGGAGGCAATGGACCTTTGAGGGCGAGGTTGCCGGCTTTTGGCAGGAGGCTCGTAACCTCACCTATGTTCTCTTTCATAACGCGTCACACATGGTCCCCTTTGACTACCCACGACGCTCACGAGATATGCTGGACCGCTTCATGAAGGTCGACATCAGCAGTATTGGCGGCCAGCCGTCGGACAGTCGGATTGATGGCGAGAAGGGCCCAGATACCTCTGTCGGCGGAGCTAAGAACAACACCCAACAACATGAAGAAGAGACAAAGCAGAAGCTCAATGAAGCCAAGTGGCATGCCTACCAGCGATCTGGTGAGGTCGTACTGGTGATTGTCATCATTGCTGCTTCGGTATGGGGCTACTTCGTCTGGCGCCAACGACGCAAGGGTGCAGCATACTCTGCTTTGCAAAACGACGAGGCCGCTGGCCAGTCGAGGACTGGTCTGGCAGCTTTCCATGACCGTCAGAGTGATCGTGACTTGGAAGCCGCTGCATTCGACGAGACAACCGTCGACAACATCCCCCTGCAAGAGTCGATTGGTCGCGGGGAGAGCAAATATAGCATTGGAGACGACAGTGACGAGGAAGAGGAGGGGACCACCAAGACGTGACACCTGGATAAGAGTAACCAGCCATCTTTATTCATACATGGTGCGTCGTGTCCGTAGCATAGCTCTGCATCAAGAGCGGACGAAAATCAAGGCGTTCTGGTGTCTCATTTTGTATATGATGTACGATAATGTGTAGCGCAAATAAGGCATGCTACCATGCGAACATACGTCACAGGTATTCACAACGTGTACTTTACCATCCGTGGCGAATTGCCCTCCGTATCCAACAACTTCCATGGATGAATTGGACACATATACGGTACAAGATGCTAAACAAACACAGTCCTACCTTTTTCTGGCTTGACATCCTACTCTACCATAGGGTCTTCAAAGAAGCTGGCCGAAGGACATGTCGAAAAGTCCAAGTTGACACTTGCGGCTTTCTAGATTGCACCTGCTTGGGCACAAGCAGTTGTCAGAATGCGGCTGCCAGGTGTCAGGCACCCGACGAACCGCCGCTTCCTTATTTATTTTGCTCGCACGCCCACCTTCCTGTGTATTTCTCCTTTCTCCTTCATTAGGCCGCAACACTTCGTAGCTTGTTAAAAATCACTCTGGCATCGCAGTGTGCGTTATCGACTAGACACAACTCTCTCCTCTCCCTCTCGCACGCTTCGACTGACATTCTACCTAAAGCCGCTTTTGAGCCTCCTACACGTTTTTCTCTTTATTTAGCCTTCAAGACACGTTGACCTGCTTTCTCAACTTCGTCTCGACTACAGGATTCGTTAGACTTCTCGTTTTAGATCTCGATTGTGCCACGAATCTATCCAGCCAGTCCGTATCATTCCTTATCAAAATGGGAGACTGGGGAAATTCTGGTGACAACTGGGGATCAGCTGGAGGCAATGATTCAGGATGGAATCAGCCTCAAGTTAAATGCGGTGCTTGTAGCCAGGAAGGGTGAGTAGCGTGCTACCAAATTAGGTATCAGGCGACTGACAACGTTTCAAAGCCACGAGGAGCCGAACTGCCCCAACCAGCATACGGAAGCTGGCAATGATGACGCCAACAACAAGTGTTTCAACTGCGGCGAGACTGGGTAAGTGCCCGTGTAATTATTCCCTCAAAGCTATAGGTTTGTAGAGCTAACATGACCGAAGCCACCGAGCTGCCGATTGCCCGACTCCTCGGGACACCGCTTGCCGCTATTGCAAGAAGGAGGGGCATATGATTCGGGACTGCCCAGACAAGCCGCCCATGGTGTGTGACAACTGCGGCCAGGAAGGTACAGGTTCAATCAACAAATGTTAGTACGAAACGCTACTAATCATGGATTGCAGGCCACGTGCGGAAGAACTGTGAGAACGCGCGGGTCATCAACAGAGATCATGTTGCCGATGTTTCTCCCGAGGAAGCTCTCTCCAAGCTCAAAACTGCTTGCTCCGAGCGAGATGTCGACGATGCGAAAGAAGCGGTTCAGGAGTACGTCAAAGCCGTCGGAGGTGACACCACCTACCGCCAGCTGCAGTCTCTGTTTATTGATGAAGGCATCAATCTTTGGCTCATTGCTTCTGAGCGTCAACTCGTGAACGTCTTCACCAATATGAACCTTCAAGGCCATACTGGAAAGAAGTACTCAGTCTCCTACAGGTTCTCGGAGAAACCCGAACGCCCTCGCGAGGCTGAACTGTTCCCAAAGAGCCGTGAGGAACTCTTGGAGAGGCTTGATGATGCTGGTGAGGTGGTCGACACCGGTCTTCGGAAGTGCCAAAACTGTGGTGAATTAGGGCACTCCAGCAAGTTCTGTACTCAGGAGAAGGTCGAGAAGAAAGCCCAGCCTGCTATTTCGTGCAGCAACTGCGGCGACGAGGGCCATCGTATTCGGGACTGTAAGTTTTGTAGCTCTTTTTGAATCTATGATACTCACAGTTGTTGAAAGGCCCCGAACCACGAGTGGACAAGTTTGCATGCCGAAACTGCGGGTAGGTGATTCTCCTCCCTATGTTTCCTGTGGATTCTGCGCACCAGTACTGACTGCTCCAGAAAATCTGGCCACAGGGCTTCTGATTGTGAAGAGCCCCCCAATTTGGAAAATATGGAGTGTCGAAAATGTGGCGAAAGTAAGTCACGTTCACAGATGATTCATGGAGTATTTCTAATTCAGTTCAGAGGGCCACATGGGTAAAGATTGCCCACAGGGAGGTAGTCGAGCCTGTCGCAACTGTGGCCAGGAA